ATATAAAATATATTAGGTATGGGAAAAAGTTCGTGGCATTTTTTTAATCTAACGGGAAAAACGCCACGAACTTTTTCCCACACCTAATACATATAATATAATTTAATATGTTAGATTTTTAGAGAACATGTTTCATTTGAATAAGCTTATATACATTCGTTAGGCTACACATGGATAAATGGCAGATAAAGAAAAATGTCTCTTCGAAATATTACGGGAATTCGGGCAAAGATAAGACTTTCGGGATTCTCGGGAAGAGAGAACCTACCACCTAGTCTTCTTGCAAGGGTGCGTTCGAGTCCTTTCCTCCGCGGTTAGGGTGGAATAAAATGATACTTGCTTCATATTTCGCAAGTCCAACTTTCGTCACGTGAAATGTCTGTAATTTTACCGCAGCACTTTATATTTGAAACACTATATTCCTGTCACTCCTACGCAGTCGCAGTCGGTGTGATGTAACTTTTATCAAGACTGTCTAATCTAATCATCTTTCGCATTCTTACTGGTTTTCTAAACATACAAAGTAACTGTAGGAGCAATCGGCTTCTTCTTGTAGAACATCCTGGGCTGTTAAATGTATGCTCATGAGTCGACATTCTAAATATACACGCTCGTTGATAGTCGCGATTTTGTGTAAACAATCATACAAATCTTCTGTCATAAAAGACTTATTACAATTATGTATATAATCTGTGTCGCATCTGGTACATCGCTCGCGCCGATTACGTCCCAATTGATCAAATCTCAAGCACGTGGAGTGCGTTAGCGGACTGAATACCGTCGACATTCTGTCAGCTAATAAAAGCTAATGAACGTTAACTAGATCTATGCATATCATATTGTCAATCAAAATTTAATTAATGACTGAACGTAATTAATTATTCTCGAAGAACATTTATTTCCAGTCCATTTTTTTTCCGAAAAAAAAATTATAAAATAGAGACTAAAGCCACTTTAAAAATATTTTAGCCTCGTTTTGAAACAATTATTACAGATTCCGTTCCCAGAACAATAGAAAACATGCGTTTTTCTTCTTATATTTCTTTTATCATTAATTTTATCTATCTATTAATTTTATATAAAAGATATCTTATATATTCAGAACTTATATAACTCATTTGAATCACCTTTTCTATAAAAATACACAATTTTTAGCTATTTATTAAAATCAGTTACTAGAAAGTATATAAATTCCCAGAAAATTTATGATTTTCTTTAAAATGTATACATATGACTGGACTGGAAATCGTTCTTTGATTTAAGAAAGGACAAGAAAATCCCCATATGGCATTGTCAAACAATAAGTTTTAGCTATACAATATTAGGGATCCTAGGCCTACCCTCCCTCAATTATATTCGTTTAGGTCTTGGAGAGAAAACTACAGCTGTGCTACAAAGCAGCTGAAATATTTCGTATCAATACAAAAGCTATTTCGCAGTCAATGTGTAACCTTCGTTTCTTCATGCGTAGATGACAATAGAATTACGATCACGCGCCAGATTTTTTTACACTGATCGATGGAGCATAAGATTTTGTCGTATATAATTTTTTTGAATTGCAGTTATATTCATAAAATAATTAAACAATATTACATAAAAAGACAAAAATAATGATGAAAATTATGTAGCAATAATTCATAACATTATTCAGCGTTTTTAAAATGCTCGAATAAATATAGCACAATTATTTTAATGTCTTCGTGTATTGAAATATGTTAAAGTGAAACACAACAACAAATAAAACATTTTCACGCTGCAAACTTTTGGATTATTGCTATTTTTACATAATTATTTGAAAAATCGAAGTCCAGTGTCTATATAAATAACGATAATATAATCAATAGTGAACAATGATAATATAATTTCATAAAAATTTCTAATCCATCTCTCGCATTCTTTTATTACATTCTTTTAATACATGAATTTGCTCTTAGAAAAAGTCTGCGAACACAAAGTCAAGGTGAGACTGAGTAGTGTGTGACGTGCATACAATTACAGTTCCGCTGACAAAAATCATGTGAATTAAATTAAAAAACCGGTAATTAAGTTTCAACGTAGAATGGAATTTTCGACGAATAAAATGAGAAAATGTAGTAACTACAATGCTTTTGGAATACATGTCACATATACATCAAATGAATTATACGTGCAACATGTTCATGATGAAATACAAACAGCTGTAATCAATTCTGTAATATAATATTACACAAGTCCAGTTTTCTATTATTTTTAACAATGGACTTCAAGTTTATCAGACTAACTTCGATTGACTCAGACTAATTTCACTTACACGAAAAGGTTTTGTTGAATAGTATCTAAAAATTTAACTAGATCTAAACAATTTTATTGAATCGGAGTAATTATATACGTATAAACATTCAAACCGATTACTAAAATGTCAAAACTTTTTGCAGCATCGTTCATTATTATTATTATACTGAGATGCCATATATATAATTATTTTGATAAGCTAATAAAATTTTCAAATTTAAATCTAGCAAATTTTTTAGATTTAGCAAAATTGTTCTTTTTGAAAAAATAAAATCAAGGAGAAGAACCTAATTTTTTCCGAAAAATATAAAAAAATATTTAAAAAAACAGGTTATTCCGAAATTAATGATAGAAATTAAAATTGAAAATAGTCAGTAAATAATATTTACCGACTATATACAATATAATTTTTACCGTCATTCATACTTCAAGTTTTGTGATAATGAGGCACAAAACTTCCGTGATAACGTATAGTATACATATTCTTTCTATTACAAAAGAGTATTTTTTAAAATAAAATATATCTGTATTACGCTTGAATAATTTTGTTACTTATAAGTTTTCCTATACATAGACACAACTTGTTAACACATCTTTGAGAATACACATGCATTTTTCGTTTAATAAAATAAAAGCTTAGACACAATGAACAGAATAAGGGAAGTTGAGAGGTTAAGAAAGAGTCAGAATAGGAAAAATCCTCCGTCTCTGATTTTATGTCTAATAATGTTAATCCCTTATGTTCAATTTGTATTTCTTATTTTGTTCAATATATCTGGTATTACCCATCACTTAATTGGCTTGTTTTTTTTTTATTAATATTCAATGTTTAACAGAAAGAAATTAATTCATAAATTAACAGAATTTTTATAAATGATCATGATAACGAACTTTATTGTTGAACTACTTGCTTATTCGAACACTTATATGTGAAAGAAATCTTAAGTTTTAAAACCATTGACAAATAACGTTGAAGTTGTTAAAAGAAAAAAATCGGAAAAATATGGCAATGAAAAGAATCGAAAATAAAAACTATTTTTTCTTTCAAAATTTCCGAGACTCTTCCTGGGCTAAGAACATTATTCTGCACTGAAAAAAATTATTTATTTGACTAAATTAATTTAATTGTCTTTATTTCTTTCGTTGTGAAGAATGTATGTATGTATATAAATCTACAATATGTCTAATTATATACATAATTCTTCATCGGAAGACATAAAGACAAATTAAATTAATCTAATCAAATGAATAATTTTTTTCAAAAGTGTGTGTAATTGCATCACACTTATTTTCTAGCTTGCAATTTATTTTCTAATGATTATAGAATATTAATGATAAAAGTTAGTCAACTGGTAAAATAATTAATTTAATTAATATGAAATGAATGATGATAAATTAATGACGGCAGACTCCATACGTGTTCTAAATGTAAAACATTTCTAATAATTGTTAAATCACTTGTCCAGATAGAAACGACCGAAACCGAGCATTAGATTGCATGTAACCGAAAATTTGAATCAAAACGCTGACTGTGCGAAACGCATACCGGTACTGCAAAACGAGTGTTGCAACCGTGCACCGTCAACGGTCGTCGTGAAACTGTTCGACCTGAACCCTGAGAACATTATCCCACCCTTGACTGAGCTTTACACGTGTTATATGGCAGTGCCGTATATAGAGGTTGTGACAGAAAATATCAAAGACGTTCGAATTTTAGAAAAAAATTAATTAATTAACGTTTTACGAAATTTAGTTACCAAAATTAACTACCAAAATTAAAGATTAATTAAAAAAAATTTTTGATTATTTCGCATTTTGCATCTGGCATTAATTAAAATAGTAACACATTTTGCATTTGTTTATAAGCATTTTTCAGTAATTTTTATACTTATAGAAAGAGCAAGTAATTAAGTGCTAAATCCAACAAAAAAAATTAAAATTATTATTTTATAGAGAAAAGAAAAAAATAAAGTGTAAAAAATTGTAAGTCATTCGTTACACATTTAAAGATTAGAAATTCTTGCTATTTTAATTAAGAGTAGATTTATAATAAAAAATATAATGAGAAAAGAGAATTCTAATAAATTCTAATAAGCTTAGAAAAGTGACTCTTATCAATTTATTTTTATATTTATTATGTGATTGTTACATAACATTTTGTGAAGTTATATTCGGTGAATATGTGTGCGTACACGAAAAAATGGTCATTGGAGAGAAAGTAGGCGACCCCGAAGTAGGTTCCTTCTAACAAAGTTTTGAAATCACTGAATCCGATGATCAAATCACATTTACGATTCTTCTCATGGAGTATTTACAAATACCAACCTTTGTACGATATTGATCGAAGCATGGAATTCAAAGAAAATTGTCACAGTATTCTGTCGGCCTAATTAATCCTTGTTCGAAGTCATTAATTTTATCGTCTATTCATTCGCTAAATTATTTAAATTTTTTACATAATAAATAATGACATTTTCAATATTTTTGATAATTTATTTAACGTTCGCAATCGCAAATAAAATACAATATATTTAATTAAAATTAAATTAAATTATTGCAAAGAATTAACAAAAACATAAAAATATAAAAAGGCTGGGTGTGAACCAAGATATTTAATTAATTAAATTTAATTAATTAGATGTCTTATCCATGTAGCCTTTTTATATTTATATTAATTTATTTCCAGTAATTAAACATTTGAATTAACTAAATTTAATTACATTAATTAATTAATTTAATCAATTAATTTAAAAAACATTTAGTTTAATTAGCTAATAATCCAAATTTTGTGATTGTAAATAAAAAATATTACAAATCATCAATAAAACAGAATAATGTAGGATTTTCCAGAATAATAAATTGAATAGACGACACAATTAGGTGAGTAGGCTTTGTAGATGATGTTACCAAGTTTTTACTCGCCGGCGCCAGTGTGAGCCGATCGTTCCTGCGAGCTACCGAAAGAATTCAACCATGTCTAACCGGGAGAACACGTGATAGGATTACAGGATGAGCAAAGGGCAGCTTAACCTACAACTACAACCCATTCACACCGAAAAAAACCTTTTCTCTCTCGACTTACTTACTCGTAGCTGCCATGCTGCCATAACGGATTTTTAAAGCGCATCGTTCCGCCGGCACCGTTGGCGGTAACACGAGTATTGTTACGGAGTTTTACTCTTGCCGTTGGTACGGTCGCGATCGCCGCGATCGATGACGGATATGATCGTAACTGCACAGCCACAAAGGCATCTCGAACGATTTCGCCGACGTGCTCACGCAGGAGATGCGTGTGCACGCACGTATAATACGCGCGCGCACGCTATGCAGGACAAGGGATTCGTGGAGCGTGGAGCTCAGTGGAGCTGCTGCGTGAATTGAAAACCATCGAGATTGGAGACATTGGTGTGGAGAAACATTCTCCAAACGGTTCTCGCATCGATTTGTGACAATGGAAACGCGACGAATGACATTAGGTAAATTCTGCTCCAAATTTTCCACATCGCGGAAGATTGAAGTCGATCGAAATAATAAGAAATAACCGGGTCCTGTTATTTCTTGCAGCTCTCAGTTTTCTGGAGCTCGACGAAAGAACTCCGGATTGCGAAACGCGAAAACGAATCATCGTAATGAATAGAGTTAAATAAAAAAAAAATCGGACTTACGCAAAGAGGTTAGCCTCATTGTTTTTCTTTTTCTTCGAGTGCATCCAGTTGCGAATGTGATGTTTCTTGCTATTAGTCTCTTTTTTATGTTTGCGCGATTTACCAAACATATTTCGATGGATAAGGATGAAGAAGGACAAATAAAAGCACCAGTAGTCGTATCACACTGAGCGTTTAACAAACATGCGTGTCTTTAATTTCACGCCTTCTTAACATACGTCGAGTATTTAGCTCCGCCGTCGATGCATACTTAATCTTCCGCGATCTCACCATCGGCGAAAAGTCCACGTGAAAACTGAAAAAATTCGTGCGATACCGACAATAAGCAACTACCAACTAAAAAAGAGAAAGATTCAGCTTTGTGTGTCACGATACGAGTAACTGTACTGGCAGGTAATGAATATGTGAATGTACGTATCATAATGCCATATGACGCAGACGATGAAGGATACGGGAGAGGATTGAGCGATGATGTTTGCGTGGATTTAACACGCTGACTGTACTGCTTGTGTGTTAATTAACTAAGCGAAAACCTAACGAAAGAGATCGCATGCTAACAGTATGGTAAATAAATTAAGGTAATTTCGAAGAAATGTATCACATCACTGGTCTTTAATTGACTTCTTATTGACGATGCGTAGAATAGAGAAATACAATTACCTATAATTATAGTTATTACACTGTATCTCCGATAGCATTCAAACCGTTAATGATGAGTAGTGTACATCTAAGTGCTCGTATTTGCACTACCATGTATCTCAATCTCGTGCAATGATGAGAAAACATTCAATCAATTTTGTTACATTTCATTCAGTTATTTGTTTCTGAATCAGAGCAATTTTATTAATGATAAACGTGAAAGAGAACGATTTTGTCGATTGAAAATATTTAAAATTTACTAGATCTGAAAATAATTTTATTAGATCACCAAAATTATGTAACGCCCAAGCTAGTTGCTCGAATATCAAAACTTTTTGCGATACCTCTCATTATGTTCGAATGTCCTATATATATAATTATTTTGACGATCCAATAAAATTCTTTTCAAATCTAAATTAAACTTTGAAATACTTCATTCTTTCCGTGCGTATATATATTTTATGAAACCTTTTGAAAGGAAATTAAATGAAGTATTTTTCAATATGGCTCACCAACGTAGATTATCCACTATGTAAATTATGCAGTATCACGATGTAGATTGTCGATGTTCGACAGAGCATATTTTAACATAAATTGAGCAAAGGGCACTCGATGAGTATTTCTGTTCTTTGAATATACGAAGACCAGAATAAACCTCGCCATATACTTTGCGTAGAATAAATGCATTTTCAAACAAGTATATGTGTAAAAATTTACATTCTGATTAAGTTCTTGTGCCTTTGCGCAAGAACCTAATTTTTTTTAATAAAAAAATTGGCATGTATAATTATAGCCATGGCCAAGGCGAATTGGTCACTTTAGATAGAATCATTAGATCTGTTTTACAACAATTTGCTTCTGTTAAAATTCAATTTTCTCACGTAAACATCTCTCGATGCACGTAATGAATTGTCAAATATTCGGCGCTGATTGCGTTAAATGTGATAAACTGCGATTTACGAGTCACTCAATTAAAAGAACGCGATTAAAAATGAATTCGAGTAGGTCGGATAAAAATATGCGTACTTAAAAGCAAACTTACTCAAAGAGGCTTTTTTTCTTAACTTCCCAATTAGATTTCTTGTTTTTCATTTCCATTGTTTTTTGCTTACGATAATCATATGATTTCTGATATTTTTTCAAAAACATATTGTATCTTTTTAACGGCTAAAGCAATCAATTAATCGCGACGCACTGGAGTTTCGTTTGCAACTATGTTTGCAACAGATAATCGTCTCTTTAAATACGCGCTTTATTGATATATAACAAGCATTTAACCCCGTTATGATAAAAACCTTCCGTGAGCTTAATTAATTGAAAATTGCGCTTGAAAATAGCGTGGGAATTATGTGGAAATCACTATCAGATGATCGAGCAGATGATCGAGAATGGCAGATTCACGTACCGTAACATATCAAAGTATACTGCAATATATTTATTTACAAACCGTTGCAATTTTAGCCATTCTTCGATTATATCCGATTATAGCCGATCTGGCACGTTTCTTCGTTTCCTTTCCTCACGCTGCCGAATATCAAATAAAGTGTTTGCGCTTCGTCGAAAGGTACCTTACGCTCCTTTCTTGGCTCACGTCGTGCCTCCTTTTTGAGACACGCATGTAAACGTGGTCGATATGAAACCGGTTCTCAAGCAAGCGAAAGAAGCGTGCGAGGATAAAAAAATTGGAACTCCCGTGCCAACGTCTCCCAAAAAATATATTCCGTACAAATTATAATAGCCGCTATTTATTAGCGTTCATGTTCGCGTGCAGAAATTCCCGGCTTTCTGCGTGGCGAATCACCATTGCCACATTTAGATACGCGATTCTGACAAGTACATTTAGTCTGCTATTTCAACGTGCGCTAAATTCTTACATCATTTTAACACGTGTGTGAGAGGATTCATTTGCGCTGTGCAAGCATTAGTTTCTCGGAAAATTCGCGCATTTAATAGTCGCCGAGTTAGCACGTGTCGAGTTACGCAAAGTGTCCAGGAGATATATAACACTACCCCAGCACTTGAAGCTATCCGCCGAGGACGAGATATCACCATACAAAAGGAAGGACGAGATATTTAATGTTAAGGTGTGTACCGCGCGACGTTGCACATCACGTTGCACGGTGCCGGCTCATGTGCGAATTGTATGTACCACGAATGTCAAACAGACCGTAACAGAAAACTTTTGTATGTGCATTGTGTCCGTTAGACCTTTGAAACCGAGGTAAAGTTTCGCAGACGCTTGCTAAAAAATTATAAATTCTCTTCCGCTCATATTTATAAAAAGAACAATCTAGTCAAAAAAATCACATTTTTATCGAATTTTTATCTCAACTTTCATTTCGATCATTTTGCATGCAGTTCTTATACTGTTTTCTTTTCTTTAATTATTTCAATCAGCAAATTATTTATCTAAGAAGAAACGAGAGAAGAGCAAGGTTTAATCAGTGATACGTTTCAAATCATCTTTGCCTCACCTTTCCACTTTAAGATATAATGTACTAAATAAAAGAAGGAACAATTATAATTTTTTTATGCACCTTAATTAATTCGGCGGTCCATTCTTATTTTTACTCATGTCTTAAGTTTCGTGTCTTTCGCCGGTCAGTGACCGTTTTTTCTTGGCAAATGACAGCACAGGCTAACGATGAGCAATATGTAATGTGTACTCGGGAAGTTCGACGTAACCTCGACGTAACGAACGCATAACATCACGCACGTTTGCCGCGTACACACGCATCTGTCCGCAGACGCACGCACGTACGTACGCACGCACGTACGTCACACACTCACCTGAACTCATGCTCGGACGTGCTCGGCGTTTCCTGCGTGTAAACATCCGCGTAGACGATTATTGTCGTCGGGTCTCCTTCTGCTCCCATCCTCCCGCCTGTCATATCGCCGGAACGAAATGATTACACCGCGCCGGCGTCTTGCACTTTATGCCGTCACGTGGTCGACGCGGTTCCCTCTTGTTTCAAGCTGATCGTCCCACGCTGTCGGCTGGAATTTGTCGCCACACGGCCCACACGCGGTAAGCCCAATATTTCTCGCTGACAAAGAAAGAAATCACATGTAACCGCAGACGATACGTAACGTCATCTTACTTCGCCAAAGTCGTCATTGTGCGGAAAATTTCGAGATCTCGGAAGAAATATATCTTCACAACATTGATGATGTTGATGTTTTGAAACTGCATTGCAATTACGTAATAATACTAATCGACGATAAATTGCTGCATGAGTGGAGAAATAGGCTTGTAATACGCGCGACACTACTGAATTCTGATTGCAACTATACGTATTGACAAGTTGCAAACAATTGATAACTCTCGTTTATTTGTGCCTCGCGCTTTGTGACCATCTTATAACCACGGGGATCCTTCGAAAACTAGATATATCTATAAATAATACTCTTTTCTCATGTGTTGACTCCTTTCTTCGTTCTGTGCGTTCGTTACTCTTTACTGAGTTAAAAGATTTTTCTGGAATCGTCAGTGAAAACATCTTAATTATCCCAACAGGCACGCATTTTTGAACCGTAATTTCATAATTTCACATTGAAAAATCGTTCCCAATTAATCAATTATTTTCTTCCAAATGTAATGCAAGGAAAAGATCGAAAATCAGTTATACTTCAATTAACTAACTTTATATACGGAATTATAGACATACAGACATACGTAAAAATGTTTTTAATATTTATTTGCGAAAGACAACACAAAATTAAATATGATTTTAATTTGGTTTCACTTGAACAATTCTTAATCAGCACAAGATAATTATACATGTATTTGTCACTATATGCACATCAAACCGATCGAGATTTTTAAGTCTGCCAAGTAAGTATCAATTATCTAAAAAAAAACAAACAATTTGTTTTCGTCGCACTTGCACGCATCATGCGTCACGTTTGGGAATCGGAGAGGGTCTGTCGCTGCCCCTTCTACAGACTTCTTATAGGGTCCTTTGTTGCTTGCCGCCTACCGAGAGCTGTCCGGTCATCTGTGAATAGGTCGGAAAGCTTCAATTTCCAAGAGTCACGATACGAAAGAGCGGACAGAGAATCATATCCTTTAGAAAGATCTTTCTGGAAAAGATTCAATATTTTCTACAATTTCGCTAATATATATTCAGCGTACGATTGTACGATAGATAAGATTAAATAAAAAGTATAAATTTCTATGTTTATATGTATATTTGTTCGTTATTTGTGAATGAAAATGGATATTATTCTAATAATAAGACAGTGAAGTGTTTATACTTGCATAGTCATTTATATTAACATATTGAGCTTATCAACATCTATTTATCATAAAGCAAAAACAACAATTATGACACAGTGATAAAATATATATATATATAGAGCGTGTTTCAAGTGTCAAGAGTCTGCCTAAAAAAAGAGAAATTATATCTTCTTTTAAAAATTTGAAAAAAATTTGAAAAAATATTCTAATATTTGTTATGATACTAAAAAGGAAATTTAGATTATAACACTAAGAAGGAAATTTTGGAATCGAAATTCTAATTTTGTTTTGAAAAAACAATTTATTCACGAGTGGATTATTACAATTCCAATCTTCCTTATGATATCATATTCCACGTACAGAGTATTTTTGATAATTTTTTTAGATTTTTAAAAGTGGACATAATTTTTCATTTATTTAAAATTAAAAAATTGATTTTTCCATATTGCTAAATTTTTCTCACTAAAATTAATATTTTTATCTGAAAGTACAGAAAACATGCTAAAAAATGTATGTCTATAAAAATTTTATATTTTGCAATTTTAGCTACAAATGACAAAAAAAGAAATATTTTCTTTTC